GGGGGGGATATGTTCATGTTGCTGCAGTCTGACCGCTAGATGTCGGTAAAAGTTACACACTGTAGCTTTAACCATTGGTTAAGTTTTAAAGATTAAAGATTTAAAAATTCAAACTTATAAGGACAACCCTTAATACAATGTCTGCTTTAGTGGATTAAATGATTAACAACATTTTTTCCTCAGGTTTTCTGCTCTGTTAGTTTCTATCTACCCAGGTTATTCGTGGAGTCTTATTGGAGGATCAGTGTCAAACTCCTCAATCAAAGTCCTTTCAGTTATAATGAAAGGAAGACCTAAAAGGTGTCATTATCTTACTGTGTCCACAGAGTGCAGTTCAACCCATGTGGAGAAAAGGTTCCTTCTTCACAGTTTTCACACACGGTGTCATCTCTGCTGGTCCCTGAAAAAAAACAAACAAACAAAGTTTTACCCAGAAACACATCAGCAGTTATTCAGCATTTAAAAAGCTGTAATTTCATGAATTCAGTCTCACCAGGAAGCTTTATTCTCTGTCCAGGTTTACAGGCTGAATGTTTCGCTGCTGTGCTGCATCCTGAACTGTCTGTCCAGCTTTTACAGAAATATCCGTGTAAAACATCACAAACTGTGTCTGATTCAGACGTGCAGTTCTGCTTGATAGAGAGTCCAGAGCCTGGAAGATGAAAACACTCATTGTCATTATTTCAGATGCAGTTAAAATCCTGTTTTTTTAGTTTCTCTGTAAACTTTCTATACCTGGATCACAGGAGAAGCAAGAGAAACACTTGGTCAGGCCGTTGGGTTTGTTCATGAAGGTTCCCGTCTCACAGGGAATGCAGCGTGGTCCTGACACAGCCGTGCAGTCTTTGCCTACCACATGTCCTACAAACACAGAACAACAGGATTTTTTATTTGTACCTAAGAGTCTCTGATCAAGGTTGAAGTGAGTTTACTCTTTGAGGTGGAGTTATAGGTAGAAGCTACCAGTCAAATTGGACCTAGAACACCTGCTAATGTCCCTCGCCAAACTTCAACCAATCAAAAACAGACAGTACCTGTTAGGAATCCAGTTTGTGTGGGTTGTTTGTGTGTTTTTCTCTCCCTCCACCACCAGGTGCTGCCCTGTTCTCGTTGGCCTTCCTGCACATCTGCGGCTCTTTGGTTCATCACTGAAGAGTATTTGAGTGGCTGACTACTTCGACGCCAGAGTGTTTGCCAGTTTTGGGTACTCTAGCCAAGCTGAGTTTAGCTGAGTCTAATCTGAGCCTTTATTTCTCTGAGTCTAACTTTGTTTT